ATTCTGTTAGCATTTTTGATTGCCACTGTACATTAAGCAGATGTTTTGAGGGAACAACTGTATTCACACTGACTCCAAAAACTCTTTCGTGAGTGTTAACAGCTAATTTAGACCCCCATCACAATGTACGGATAGTTGGGATTATATTTTGCCATGTGCCTTATTTTGCATTTTTCAAGAGTGAATTCCATCTGCCATTGTGTTGCCCGTTCACCCAGTTTTGTCGAGATCCCTTTTGTCACTCTTTGCAAGTCAGCTTTGGATTTAACTATTTTGACTAATTTTGTATCATCTGTTTACCCCTTTTTCCAGATCATTTATGAATAAGTTGAATGGTACTGGTCCCAATACAGACTCCTGGAGCTCATTGTTATTTAACCCTCTCAGTTCTCACTAGTTATTCCTGCCCTTTGTTTCCTATCTTACTGAAATATTTGGCAATGTTTTCATGATCTACCCATCCTTCAATTAATTTAATGCTGAGACTTTTGTTATCTTTATCACCCTGCCTCCCTCTGTTTATAAATAAATTTCCTGCTGGAAAGGCAAAGCTGAGAGCGGCAAAAACTCTATTGCAGTTAAGAGCGGTGTCTGTTGCTAGTGCATGGGCTTTAAGCAGACCCCAAATATGAAATGCAGAGGTTCAAACTTTGTGGGCCTACCTAATTTGCACCCCTGCCAGGTGCTACTAAAAGGTGGTGGTGGTTTGTTTGATGGAAATAGGGAGGGGAAAGAGAGACATGCCTGGAGCAAAGAGACTCAAGTCTGTTCAAAGTACCCATAGCCCAGGACAGAAAAATAATCCCAAAATGTGCTAATACTTATACTGCAGGAATAACTATCAGGCCTTGCTGCCCATCCCCCTTCCTGGCCAATCCACATGGATCCCTATGGTATAGTCTGTAATCTTTGCCCACCTGTGTTTTGAACAACTCAAGCAATGCAGCTTTCATCAGTTCCCTTGGGAGGCTATTCCATAGCCTGATAGCCTGAGACACAGAACCTTTATTTTCTTCTACACAAGTTCTGGTTGTTCAATACCTGTTCCTATGAAAACCAGAGGCAGTTGGAGTTTTAATATAACTTTAAATTATGTTGCCTTAAGTACAAACTTGGGGTGAGGGGTGTTGCTTGCAAACAACATATTTTACAAGCGCTGATTTTTGTCCCCCTCCCTTGTTCCATCCTGCTTTTAAGCATACCCCTCATTGTTTGCTTTTGTAATAAAATGCAACTCAGGGATGCCCTCGTATAGGTGTTTAACAAAAAGATTTAAAATAAAGCACCCACTTTAAATTCTCCAGCAGGGGATTACCTTGCTGGTATTTACATATCTATGCAATAAATATTTTAACATGTTAATTATACACTAATAAGAAAATACCTTTTGAACTTTCTGCCAAATTACCACACGCAGAACCAGATCCATCAGGGAATTAAAAGCAATTAGTTTTGTAACAGAGTGTGGTCACATTTGTTTTTTCTCTGCAAATTGTTCTGAGGTCGCCCGTCAGCCTTTTTTTGTCAACTGTTTATATAAAGACCGGTAGGGCTTGGAGACTTTGGCTGCTATTAAAAAATAGCTGCCATGTAAGGTATTCGTTTTGCATCTGATGTATTTCTTGCTATCGAAGGGACAAATTCACCTTCACACCCATGAACGCAGCTTTCATTGAGCCCGTGGGACTGTTGCTGGGGTGAGGCTGGTGGGCTCTGTTATGCAGCTGTATTACACATGGCACTCCCAACTTATGCGTTCCTAGTAATCGTTGCACTGCTGTGTAAACTCCTACCTGCTCCTTCTCTTCGGTAGGCCAGTGTCAGTATCCCCATTTTACAGCTGGGGCACAGAAATAGGAAAGTCAACCTTGAAAGAAATCTCCCTTAATTGTGTGCTTCCATTTTGGGGTTCCAGATTGATTCTCTGAAGGCCGCAGTGCTGCGCATATACAGCTCCAATGGACTTCACTGATAGCTGGGCGGCTCAGAAATGGAGGCCGCTTTTATAAAGTTGGGCCTTGCCAACTTGCTCAAGGCCCTGTAGCAAGTCAGAAGCAGAACCCAGCTCTCCCAAGTCCTAGCTCGCTGGTCCACACTGTCTCTCGACTTTTGAATACACCCATCAGAGGAGTGTCTGAGTGCCATTAAGGAAATTGGGAATGCCTCATGCAGGCTCATATTTTGAGTAAGGACTGGGCCCAAAGGGGGTTGCCCATGTGGATCTGAAGGCAGAAATTATGCCAACTACAGAGCCCTATTCTACATTCCTGACATGGGTTACGCTCCCAGTAGATGCTGGAATTTTACCCGAGTAAGAATAAGCTGGCTTGGGCCCAGGGTGGCATCTTTAGATGCAGGATTTACCAATTAATTAACTTTGTCCTTAATACAACGTACCTTGCGAACCTGAGGTTCCATTTCTTAGGTGAACTGCATTTACAACTCTCTCCCTTTTCTTTGCAGACTGAAAACTACTCTTTTGATTCCAACTACGTGAACAGCAGAGCCCACTTAATAAAGAGGTATGTGGGTGTGCTTGAAACTGTTCCATTTGCATAGCCAAATTCAAATTGTTTAGCATGCTTTTTCTGCCCTATTATATACTACTTGATGTTTTGTGTGCAAAATGTTTTGGGAATAATCATTTGATTTTTTTAAAACAGTATTTACTTCCTATTAAATCCCATTGCTCGTGGCTTTTAATAAAGGGAAATCTTTTTTTGTTTTTTTGTTTGCCTCCTCACTGAGAACTAGCAGTGACTTAGGCAAAATGCTGTTACCCTGACAACTTTAAAATGTACGGACTTCATTCCACTTGAAAGCATAGGAATCCAATGTTAGATCTGGAGGGTGAGCACACCCTGCCAGGTGAGGAGGTAAGAGAAACTTGTTTGGGGCCAGGTAATTTGTGTTTGATGTTTGTTCGCTATTTTAGTTGAAATGGTAAAGCAATCTACACTATTTTTGGGATTCTCCTCCCCCCCCCACCACCATTAGTACAACTAAAGGGTCAGCCTATTTTCAGCCCAGCAGTTATCCCTTTGGTGAATTTAGCCTATGGGTAAATTCTGCTCCCAGTAATTAGCTAAGGTTTCCATCACCCCACCTTAACTCCATTGACTTCAACTTGGTTATATCTTAACTGAGAGATGAATTTATTTTATGGGGAAAGTCTAAAAACTTTGTCCCCCCCCCTTCCATTTCTAAGCCAAATGACATCTAACCAGGAGGCTGCAATGCAGTGCAGGAGATGTGGATCTCTGGTAAGTCCTGCGTCTGTGCCCTGGGGGCTGGGAGGGAAAGCTACTCCACTCCTGTTCACAGGGTAGGACTAGACCAGGGGTCTCCAACCTTTTTAAGCATAAGATCACTTTTTGAATTTAAGTGTAACCCAGGATCTAGCTAAAACCCAAACACCCTTGCCCCTCCTCCTTCCCACCCCTTCTCTGAGGCTCCGCCCCAGCTCACGCCTTCCTCCCTCCCCCATCTCATTTGCTTTTATCAGGCTGGGGGCAGAGGTTTGAGGTATAGGAGGTGTTCAGGACTGGGGCTGGGGTTCGGAATGCCGGCTCCATCTGGGCACCGTTTACCACAGGTGGCTTCTGGGTGAGGTTCCAGTGGGCTAAGGCAGGCTCACCCCTCTCCTGGCCTTGCACACCTTCCAAAGCAGCCAGCAAACTCTTTCCATCCCTGCCCCCCTTTGCTCTGTGGAAATGGGGTACATGGTGGAGGGAGGGGCATCCTGACATCAGCATGCCCTCCTCTTCTTCCTGTGCCTTGCACAGCAAGCAGAAGGCTCCCAGAGGACTGCCAATGCAGAGGGCCGGAGCAGCACGGCAGTGCTGAGAGGGGCAGATGAAGTGCCAGAACTTGATAGCCTCCTGGCCACACCTCTTAGGCAGGTGTTGTCCAAGGCAGGCTGCAGCAGCTGGCACCCCAGGCGGAACGCGTGATCAGCGCCCCCACCTGCACGGCTGTCAATGGACTGACGTCATCATCGGGTGCCCCATTGAAGGCGGTGCCCTAGGTGACGGCCTAGTCGGCCTATAGTCATGGGCTGCCCCTGGTCTTAGGATCACCTGTCAAAGGTTCCAAGATCTACCAGCAGATCCTGATCTCCTAGTAGGTGACCACTGGACTAGACAGCCCATGAGCGGTGGAGGAACAGAGCTGCTTATCCAGCAGCCCTGTCTCCCACTCAGAATTCCCTCCCATTTCCCAGCTTACGATCTGGGAGTCAACTCCTGGACCAAATTCTGCCATTTTATCCAGATAGTTTTATTCTTGAAGACAGTGGAGCAGCAAAGGTGTAACAGCCCAACTGCACCCTGAACTGTTTAAATATTCCCCCAATAGTAGAGAAAATCCAATTACTTCACTGGCTAAAATCCCATTTATTTACATCGTAAAAATATAAGGAGGGAATTACAAGTGCATTTTCTGAGCAGCTTCAGTTTAGTCAGTGATGGGCAGGTATATTTGTTTGCGTTGTTCACGATGTTTAGCAACGATAACGTGACTGCTGGAGAGAAATGGGCTGCCTGCAACATATCGCTCCTCTCAATATAGTCAGGGTTCGTTCTTCTCAAAAACAAATCTATTAATCTTTTTCTTTTTTTACGCCTAACATAAAAGCAAGCCACATTCCTGACTCCCACAGTAAAGTTTACTCTGAGGCAATTGTTCTGGGATTCCTGCAACTGCTGATACTCAGAAACCTGCCTTGCCTTTAGAAAAGTGGCAGTTCTGGAAACCAGCCTGTTGTGTGACTGTTGCATTATGACCTGTCTCACTGCAGGAAAGACAAGTGCATTGTCATGCAGATTGCTTGCACATGAACGGTAACTCTGTGTAGGACAGTAGTCTCCTCCCCACACTTTTGCTTGTCTTGCACTTGAAGTCTAATGAATGTCATAAATGTTACACAGACATTTGAGAATTGAAATGTCATCTGTTTAAACACTGGAATCATTTTAATTCAGCAAAATCTTTGCTTTTGTGGGAATGTTATAGTTGCTCAACCTTTGCTGTACAAATCTCCCCAAATCTGTGAGTTTGTTTAATCTGTTTATACCATTTTTATTTTTGGTCTCACACTCTCATGCACAAAAATTAATCCAGGATTTGAGGGTTTTCTTAATTTAAAATTCTCCTTCTAGTCAGGCAGTGGCGTCAATAGGGACATCTTTATTTAACAGATAGTTTTTGAAGGTTTACCAATTTCCATGTATTTTCACAACCCTCTCCCCCTTTGTGGTTCTGCAAAGCATGAAATGGTAGGTGGTCCGTTCAGTTTCCGTGGAGACACAAAAGGGGCTTTGCAAAGTAATGAAAATGTCTAGTAATTCAGTGCTTTGAAGTGCAGACCATTCCCAGGACTAAATTATTTTCGACAAAGCCAGCTGGCTGGGAAGTTTGGGCCAGATCCTCAGCTGGGTATAGCTCCAGTGAAATCAATGCTTATTTTTACCAGCTGAGGAGATAATCTATTGGTTCTTTTTCAGTCAAAACAGTGTTGAAGGACATAGTGAAAGAGCTCCTGGGTGGGTAGTTCTGAAACTGAGCTTTGCGATGCCTGCCAAGATAGATTGTAAGCTGTTTAGGGCAGGGACTTTCTCTTGCTCTATGTTTGTACAGTGCCTAGCAGAATGGGGCCCCTATCCTGGTTCACCGGTAGGTATTCCTGCGCTGCAAACAGAAGCAATGAAATTGAGTGGAGAGGAATAATCTCCACATCAGCTTGGTCAAAGTGCTGTCAGCACTAGAATGGGAGGGGCAGGGCTTAATTAATGCCTGGGCTTGCCAGCCCTGGCGCACCTCAGCTTGGCAGTTCATAGGGCAAACTCAGAGGTGCTGGAGCTATCAGTAATGAAAGTAAAAATTTGCTTGAGCCCTTGCACCTCTTTCATTACAAATGAATCACTGGAGAGGAAGTGGCTTAATGTAGCTCGTTCCTGAAGAACCCCAAGGTTCCTTCATTATTATCCACCTGCTCCTTTAGCTTCTGCTTCTTCCGTTCCTTCTCAGTCGCTGTCCTTTGCAGGCCACCTTTGTCTGTTCATGGATGGGCACTTCCACTGGTTTCTCCTTCCGTTTCCCCAGCAGTAGCCAATTGATTGCACAATGCTGTGGTATCAGCTTGTCGTCTTTGCTGACCTTGCGGTTCTTCACGAACGAGCCACATTTCAATGTGTTTAGGCTGATGTCCTTAAAGTTGTACCTTGTACCACAGTTTACATAGCTGCCAAGAGTTTCTAGGGTTGGTTGCTTCCAATGTTGCATCCATCTGCAAGCCAAAGAAGAGTATTTCCCAGCCTTCAGCTCTTTGCATCTCTCACGAGCACTTTGCCTCAACAAATATTGGGAACTCTCTGTGATATTGGCTTGCTCTTGAAGCACTTTTGGTAATCGGTGCTCTGCTGCTGTGTCTCTCCGTAGTGGCATGGAAGGCAAGGCAGCACCATTTTTAAGGGGCGCTACTGGAGATCGTGAAATAAAATGGCGCTTGTAAGCAGATGGTGTTTCCATCTTGCAATATAACGAGTCTATAGGCAGCATCAAGTGTCATTTTTTGAGGAGTACAGGATCTTTTGAAAAATCAGCCCGTTGTCGGAAAAACCGTGTCTAAACCGCGGCTTCAGTTTCGAAATGGCACTTGTTCGAAACAGCGCCAGAATGCAATTATGCAAATGAAGCATGGGATATTTAAATCCCTGCTTCATTTTCACTTTTGATGTGCCTAATTTACATCCCTCTGCCTACAGAGGGGGTGTAGTTCACACACCCCCTCAGAGTCATACCTATCTTTGTACGCCCTGGGAGCATTAATAAGCTGCTCCTACCACAACAACCAGAGTTTACTCCGCAGTTTTATGCTGGGTTCTGACTCTTGCTAATCTGAGATGTCCAGAGCCAATGTCAGCATCCGTAGTGAGACTGTGGACCCTGCCGTGCTCTGAACCTGGTCCTGTGAGGACTGGCCCCAGTTGTGGAGAAATGTCTTGGGCGAGGGGGAATTCCTTTCACTGTGGGGCCTCCTAAGGACTTAGGTTCAGTGTTTGTGCAGTGCCTTGCACTATGTGACTGGGGCTCCTGGGTCCTACTACAATACAAATCAATAAAACCAGCGGTGGTGACGGTGATGATAATTGAAGCAAAACAAGCTTGTTTCCTTGAAGGAAATCTGAGGCCTTCTAGAGTCATGTGGTCCCTAGGACTTACACTTGTCTGCTGCTGCTGGCTCTCGGTTACCTGGTCTCTGCCCGCTAAGAAGCTCTCCCTGGTGTGTGCGCATAGCCACTCCCTCCCAGGAGGTAGAGGAGTAGGACCCAGCCTCAGGGGGAGGATGCCCTGAACCTCTTTGTTTCCGAATGCTGACGTAGTCAGGGGTTGCCGCTCTCCAGGTACGTTCTCGCCGTTCAGACCAATGCACCTTACCCAGCCCTTCGTGTGGTTCTTGCCCAGGCCCATTGAAGGTGACCTCAGAATTGCATATTGTGCACTGCTTTTTCTTTTGCGACTGGGCTTGTTAGCACAGTCAGAAATAACGCACCAGAGCAAACCAAGGGTCCATCCTGTCCCAGTACTTTGTCTTTAATTCTTCAGATGGAGGTGTAAGAAACCTCCTAATGGACACTATAGGGAATAACCTTCTTCACGGGGAATTTTTTGTCCCAATACCAGGCTGCTATAGAGGTTGGTTTATGCCCTGAAACTTCTAAGGGGTTACACTCTTGTAAGATTTTATCCTAGCTAATATAATTTTGAATGTTCTTATTTGTATAATGTCTAAACCTTTTTAGAATCCTGCAAAGCTCTTGACCAAAATGATATCTTGTTGCATAGAGTTCCCCAGGATAGTTTTGCAGCATATATTAAAAACCCCTCTGAAGACCAGTGCAAGCTGGATTATCTGTTTTGCAGAATGAATGGATATGGGAGAAAATGTTACCCTGGGGGGCTCCTTTTGATCGCGACATTAATCGTTGGCCTGACTGACAGTTTCCTTGTACCTTAGTACTCAACAGCCTAGCTAGGGAGTTGTACCAAGCTGTACCTGGCACATTCAGCAATAGGTTGCCTGTATTCACAGGGCACCTCCATTTCTTTTCTTAGAATGGTTCAGAGCGGTATGTGACATGCCAAGATGAATGGGTTGTACTGCTGTTGTACTTTCTCTTCCTGTTCTTCTCAGGTATAAGGTGGTCCTCTGTTCCTGGTCTTGCCTCCAGTCTGATTCCACTTTGTGCCGCTTCTACTTTCCGTCTCTTTGGCTCATTCCAGAATGAGCAGCAGCCCTTTGCTTGTGTGAGAAATGAGCAAGATCTTTCTGCAGTTCTCACAAACCTGTAGATGGTTCCCGTTTCAGACTTGCAGCTAGTCCTAGTCACCCACCGGAATGCGCATTAAGATCAATGAATAGGGTTGTTAGTGTGTCAAACTGCGAACACCCTTTTGTGGGCCTGAATTGTGACTACCTGTGAAAGAGATTCTCCCCTCCACCCCAATAATACAGCCAATAAAAGTCTTGCTTGAGGGTTATGACATCATGCTGGCTAAGAGAGACTGTATCTGATTAGACTTGACATGACAGTAAATCCCTGTTCTTTCTTAAACCCAGCAGTTCAACTTTCAAGGACTTAGAGGGGAATAGTCTGAAGGATAGTGGGCACGAGGAGAGTGACCAGACTGACAGTGAACATGATGTCCAGCGTGGCCTGTACTGTGATACTGCCGTCAATGATGTGCTGAACACCAGTGTGACTTCCATGGGGTCTCAGATGCCTGAACAAGGTAGGTCGTGTCTGTGCAAAATATTGTGTGTTAAGGGAGATCTGTGGAGCTTTCTGACTGCAGTGACAGTGGACAGCTAGATGCTGATGGCTATATTTTCTTGCATGGGGGTGTGATAAGGATGCTTTTCATCCTCCAAGTGCTGTATAGATATAAATACATCTTCACCACCTCCTGTCAGGTAAGTGAACAATGAGGGTTATCCCCCATATCACAAATGGGGAAATTGACATTTCTATCCCACCCGCCCCCATGTATGTGACAGCAATTCAAATGGCAGAGTTAGAATATGAGTAGGAGTTACTTGTTTCTGGACAGGTGCTTGTTGCACTAGGCCTCGCCCTAATCAAGGATCAGATGCCTTCTTTTTGACACACTGTACAGCATTTCAAGAGCGCATGAGCAGACGTCATCCATACAACATTTAGAAAAGGCCAGCTGAGTGTATATACACATTATTCACACATTCCACAGGAGATTAGCTCAGTCAGGTGGGCGAGGTATTCGCGTGTCCCCCCCCATCTAAACTGCACTTTCCCCTATTACACATACCCACATGGGGAGTTGGAAAATCAAGCCATGATCTAAACCCAAATGAGTGTTAGCTGGAGGAAAATAGTCAGAGGAGTTCAGCTGAGCCCATTCCTTCATATGGACTTAGGCATGAATGTCGCTTTTAATGTCTTACTGATGCAAACCTCCTCTGTAAACATCCTGTCATTTTCAGTTAAGATATATGAATGCAGTTTGGTGCTCAAGTTCAGGGAAGCCTTAGGGGGACTTGGATATCTCTTAAGATAGGCTGTAGCGAAGACTCATCTGGAAGCCTCACTGCTAAAAAAAACCTTCAAGGATGTGAAAACAAAGGCTGTGATTCTGAATTGGGCTCTAGCTGTTGAATTTGATTCCTGGTAAACATCATTAAAAGCCATTGTTTTGCAGTAATAAGAGTCAAATGTGGAGAGTTCTCCCCATCCATGTCATAAAATATTTTCTTTAAAAGAAACAGTGATCGCTACGTTAATTCCCGAGGGACACTGCTAAATGGCCATAGTTAACCCAGAAATCTGTGCAAGTTGGGAGTATGCAGAGGTCACCTACCAACTCTGTACTGCCAGCCACGTTAGCTAGAGGGCGTTGATACCTACAGCGATCATGTATTTTCCAGACAACCATACTGTGGCTAAAGATGAAAAATTTAAACATTTATATAACTCTACAGTGGTAATTTAATTCTCTGAGGACTAGCACTGTGACACAGAATGTAGGCTGATAGGTATCATTTATTATTCTTCTATTACAAAGAAATTCTTTTTCATTTCAATCAGGGAAAGGTTTTCCAAGATGCTCCTTGCCGTAAGAGATGGCTCTGGGAGTGAAAATGTTCATAATTGATTCCTGACCGGTTGGAATGGTCTGAACACCATCTGTTAAATTTTTGTCACATATTTTTTTTTTTTTTTTTTAGTGGAAAACAATCTCGGTGGAGTGCCAGATTGGCTTTGACAGAGATTATGTTTCTGACAAGGTTGTGCACTGCCTGCAGTATGCACGAGATAACAATGAGAATGAAGTGAGGAGAATGGGCTGGAGTCGGACTTGGTCAGTAGAGTGACACTGGTGATAAATTTGGTTCAAAATATTGGAACCAACTCCTCCTGGCATGAACTGCTGGTGAAGAAAATTAGGTGGGAACCATCCAAAAGCACACACTGGAGTCAAGCGCCCAACTCCTATTGACCTTGGATGGGAATTGGGTGCTTATAACACACTGTGCCTTACAGCTCTCCCCCTCAGCTATTTCTTTGAGGGAAATCACTTAGTTGTAACTTCTTCCTCTTGTTCATTAATATTGATCACATATGGGAACATCTTCATATTTATGCCATGCCAGGATTATTCACTGTATCCTGATCCTGCCAAGCACTTAAACACATCTTTGGTAATAGTCCCATTGACTTCAGTGGGACTAGTCACATAGTTGGAGCTAAGCAGGGCCTGAGGGCTTATCTGCATTTAAAATGCATAGCTGCACGGCTGTAGTGCTTCAGTCCTGAGACTACCTACACTAGTGGGAAGGATTTCCCTTCTGTAAAGTAGGAGGGGTTGTAAGTGCTTGGAGGATAGGGTCATAATCTGGACAAACTGGAAAATTGCAAACTACTGGAGGTAAATAGGATGAAGGACACAGGAAAACTACTCCACTTGGGGAGGAACAATCAGTTTCCCACACATAAAATGGGAAGTGACTGTCTAGGAAAGAGTATTACAGAAAGGGACTTTGCATCATAGTGGACCACAAGCTAAATATGAGTCAGCAGCGTGACACCGTTGCAAGCAAACATACCAAACAAACCAACTCATTCTGGGATGCATTAACAGGAATGTTGTAAGCAGGACGTGAAAAGTAATTCTTCTCTACTCTGCTGATTTGGCCTCAATTGGAGTATTGTGTCCAGTTCTGGGCCCTGCGTGTCAAGAAAGATGTGGAGAAGTAGGAGAAGGTCCAGAGAAGAGGAACAAAAATTATTGAAATTCCAGAAAACATGGCCTATGAGGGAAGACTGGGATTTTTCACATCCCTGAGAGAAATTCCATCCTAGTTTTCGAGTGTAGACCAGGCCTAATCTTTTGCTGGGTTGAAAAGTCTGTCTGCTGTCTCAAAACTTTTGGGCTTGGTTTTGCCATCCAGCTGGGTTTGACTGAACATTCTCATGTGAACAGGGGCTTTTAAATGTGAGGAAGCTCTTTGTCTGCTCTTTCTCCCAATGCCTGTCTCCTATGGCATTCATAGTTTCCAAAAACTAGGCAACCGCATGCATGTATTGCTGCTTCCACATACCGGAAGGTGGGTAAATGCTGTATAGTTCCAATACCGGACGCCCCATCTACTCAGCAGCTAAATGGACCTGAATTCTGTTGCAAAATCCCTGGAGTGACACACATGCGCATGCAGCATGCTGGACATTGTGTGGCAGCTTTGTGTGGGGATCTGAATCAACTATGAGAGTCACTTCCATTTTTTTCCCTATGTTCTCTCCTTGGTATCAGTTTTCAGCGTGCTTCACTTTTGCACTGCGAACACGACTGCTCCCGAGGAGATCACAAGGGGAAAGGTGGAGGCTTTAGCAGCTGAGCGGGAAACAGTTGGCATTTTGGCTGCTGCTGAGGCTCTTGATCCATATGGAAGGTGCCACTCGTTGTGAGTGTGGGTGGCCGAATCTGGCCTTCCGTTACATGCCTACAAATATGATCTTTGTGCAGTTGGCAGAGTTCTCCACACTTCCAGTAATAATAGTGAAAGATCAAAAATCTGACTGATACATTGGTTTTGCAGTACGATGACTCCCTTCCCTACAGTGAAGTGACTTGTGATTTCCATGTGGCTAAATGAAATCAGAATCAGGCGCCAGCCCCAGCTAAATTCAGTCATCAGCTTAGCATGAGCTCTCCTGAACCAGTAAACAATACAGGATTGGTGATCTAGACAAAAACTAAGGTTACATAAGTGGCCTAGAGCCATAAGCAGTCTCTTACTATTTTCTTTTCAGCAGGTTGCAAAAACAATACTTCATCAGGCAGGCAGGCAGTATGACTCCAGTGGTCACTAGGTGATTAGAGTTCCTTTGCCTGATTCAAGGGCTTTGGAACACGTCCTATCCCTAGGGCAGGATGGGGTGGACATAAAGGCAGACTGATCAGAAGTCTGTTTTAACCAGAGAAATGAATAAGAACTTGCCTGGAAGATAATCAGCATGGGTGTAGAATAGTATCATCAAGAGTTTGGGCATAAAGTCATTAATTTTTGTAGCAGATACTAAAATAGAAGGCAAGGGAGAGGCACACTGCTAGGTGAGACTCTGCTTTGCTCTGGTACTTAGGTTGCAAAAAATGACAAAAAGTCAAGGTAATTAGATGAGAGCAATAATGGTTCTCGCAGGGTTCATGAGTGTCTTATTTGTAGACATCCAAATGGTTCAGGAGCCTTTCTTATCCACGCTCGGTAACTTTTGATCTGCTGATGTGAGATCCTGGTTGGCACAAACTCCTATGGCTTCTGAAGCATCTTGATATCAAAGAAGCTTCTGAAAATCTGGAGCATCTCACAAGATATTGATTGCTATTCTGTGGGCCCGATGAACTTTGACCTTTACGATACACTACTGGGAATAGACTAGTTTCTCTTTCTGCGGTTCTGTTAAGAGATAGGGGTTTAGTGGGGTCTTGTTTAAGCACACCTTTATTCTTGAGATTTTAGATTTCCTGCAGGAAGGTGTAGATAAAATTTCATCCAAGCTTCTACCTGTAATACTCTGGGAAGTCACAGGCTCTTGAACTCTCTCTCAGTATTCTTAAGCCTGGGTAATAGCTTAGAGCCTGACCATTAAAGTCCGTAGCAAAATTTTCACTGAGTTCAGTGGGGACAGAATTCAGATCTTTGTTCATGCATTCTGGGCCTGGGTTTGTGTGTTAAACCCCACCTGGGTTTGTGTTTTGTGTTTTTGTGTGTGACCTGAACTACTTGATGGTGTCCCTTTAATTGTGACAAGTATCAGAGGTAATAGAGAGGTAGCTGTGTTAGTCTGATCTTGGTAAAACGAGGGGGGAAAAAAGTTATGTAGCACTTCAAAGACTAACAAGATAGTTTATTTGGTGATGAGCTTTCGTGGGGCAGACCTACTTTTCAGATCAGAGGAGTAGCCCTGTTAGTCTGAATCTGCATAAATGACGAGAAGTCCTGTGGCACCTTATTAACTAACAGATTCATTGGAGCATAAGCTTTCATGGGCAAAGACCCACTTCGTCAGATGCATGTCACCTTTAATTGTGTGGCTTTGGGTCCTGTAGTCGAGAGATGGTGCATGCATGGCTCCGCCAGTCGGCAATGGCTTCCCTCTTTCCTTTTTTTGGAAATCTTTTCGATCTCCCTGTAGTGAAGTATCCTCTCTAAAATGGCAGATTCTTGTGTCAAGAGTGGCAGCATGTTGTCAGGAATATTA